AAAAAAACAGAAAGCATGTATAATCAAATTTAGGTTTAATTTGGTGTTATCATCTGAGTTGATAATGTAAATTGGCCACCGTGAAAAGTTTCAAAGCTGAAGTTTCGAGCGTAAGCGTAACAACAAACTTGTAATTTCTCTTGCCTATAAAGGTGTTAGGGTTAAAAAAGACTTGTTCGTTCTCAGGCGCACTTGAAAACTTATCCATCAAAGAAACTTCGCCTTTTTGGTAAGCGTAATCCTCAGTTTCGTTTGTTACTTGTGTTTAGATTGGCTTAGAACCTTTGGAAACCAAAAGATATGTAGTTGCTTCGTTAGTAGTTTACTTTTGTACTTAAGCGTATGGTTGCAGGAAGAACCTCTCTTGTACCAACCTCAACATGATGTATTTTAAGATTTAATCTCTTGAAGTTTCATTGAACTTCGAGAAGTCTTGGGGATCCTGCCCAGAGCCAACATCTGACATAAGTTACCGAGACAAAACTAAGTAGTTATTTGTTTCCTGAGCAATATGTCAAATTTGTATCTTTGGTTTTCTTTTGCATGTGGATAATCACATATTCTTTTAGATTTCATCGCAAGTGTTACAGCGTATATCCTACACTCAGCCTCATCGCAATAAACGTGTGAAGATTAGCTGATCGTTTTTCATGTTTTGACGAGGCATCGTTTGAAAAAGCGACGAAACCTTTTCGAACAATCTAACATGCAGTGACAATATTGGTGCGAAAAAAATTGCAACCACACGTTGATTTGCTTCAGTTGCCGCCGCCCAGTTAGCTCAATGGATAGTGCGCTGGACTGTTGTGCGGGAGGTCGAGGGTTCGAGCCCCGGCCGGACCAACACTCAAGGTCTTAAGATAATTGAGAAGAATTTGCTATCTTTCTATAACATCAAGAAATGATTAGATATTCTAGTCTTCTCGGATAGGGACGAATAAATGGAGGTCCCGTCTCCTGCAGGGTTGGGGTAGGAGACGTTAATTTCCCACACACGAGATTACTGTGTGATGGATGTCCTCCCCTGGGGTGGGATGGGTGGGAAGGTGAGATCGATAGACTGAAGCGGCTGCCAGAGGCGCCTGATATGCTGACGTCTGTTCTCAACCTTACACTGCACCCGTAATTCAGCCTCTGGGCTGCAAGTGGTCAGATATAAACTATATTCAT